TGGGCAGTTCCCATCTGGGGCTGGGCAGTTCCCATCTGGGGCTGGGCAGTTCCCATAGCCCCGTTTGGGGTTACAGCTGGGTCAGTGGTTTTTGTCAGTGTTGTACATCCCCTTACACAGAATCACCTGCACGGGGAATGCACAGGGGGAGAGGTGTCTGTGGGGGCTTTGTTTGCTGCACTCTCTCTTTTCTCAATCCCAAGTTTCAACTAGCCTGCTTTCCAAAGACTTGGAAGAAGAGTCACTTGATTTTTTTGGTAATATGGGGTTTTTTTAGCTTGACTCAGGGAGATAAACATGAAGGCAAGGAGAAATGTGTTAGGCAGCAAAACTCAGTTCTGTATCCTGTGGTAAGGACTGGATGATGTAAGAAAGAGATGTGATAAAAAAAGAATTGGAAGAAAACCTTTTTTTAAAGACCATGAAACTAATGAGATCAAAAAGGGAAGGCTTTTTGTAAATTGTTTCAGGGAGTGAACCCAAATTGCTGCTATGTCAAGACTTTGGTTCCCCAGACAATTAGTGAAAAATTAATACAGCAGGGCATGGGGTTTAGGGTTTGTCTTCCAACGTTAACTTTAGAAGGTTGCATCTATTTTYCCTTAGCCTCCTCTGCATCCAGTAGGGCACATCCAAAGGATATCTTTCTCTTAAGAAGAAACATGTTCAAATGTTTGATTTGTGAAATGATTTTAAGCTGGTAGGGGCCTGGCTGAGCTGTTTGTAGTTTGCCTCAGGCAGTTCCTGAGATGAGGTCAGTGCTGTGCCTTTCAGAAGTGGTGGCGTGCTCAGAGAAGAGATGACAGGGCTGACAGCAGCAAACACAACGCTGTTCTTTAAAGATGAAGAAAAGAACAAGGGATTTGTTGACCCTGCCACGCTACCTTTAATTTCTCTCTAAAAACACTGGAACAAATGTGCTGTTTGAAAGCCGAGACAAGGTGACAGGATGATGAGTAAGAGCTGGCTCAAGAACAAATAATGTCAAAACCAATTTAATTTTCACCTTTGATAGGGTGACAGAGGAGGATCTGTTGATGTCTTATAACTTGACTTAAGTTAACCTTATCATWCTTTCTCGTGTTCCATTCTAATAGGATGACAAATTAGGGAAGCTGTGCCCTGGAATAAACTGTGCCAGTGTGATTCCAGACCTGCCTGGAAAATTATAAAGCTCTGTTCTCAGTGTGGTTTCAAAAAACCTCGAGAAAACGAAACAAAAAAAGCCATCAAACAAACCAAAAAAAATCCCCAAAAAGTGCCACACATATGAAAAAAAAAAAAAAAACCTTAAAAAAATCCCTGGTGATATAGAGCAGAATATTTCCTGGCTTATTCCTGTTAAATCTTTCAGTCAAGGACCTTGATGCACCAGCTGAGTTTGCCACTCACACCTGTGGGTGATACAAAGCTGAGAGGTGCTCCAGGCGTRCTGAAGGATAGGATTAGGTTTCAAAGTGATGCTTAGAATTTAGAGAAGTGGTTTGAAGGTAAAGCAAGTGATGGCTCCCTATGGGCATGTGGAARTACTACATTTGGGAAAAAAATGCAGCTGCAGAAACATAAAATGAGGATAAAAAGAGCTTATGCAGCTGTTCCTTAGGAAAGGATCTGGATATTGTACAGAATAAAGCTGAACATGAATCAACAGGATTTTCCTCTGTAGAAAAATTGAGTATTCCACAATGATGTACAAGCCAAAGTAGGGCCTGTGAAATACATGAAAAAATCCTATTTTGAGTACCTGCCCATTTTTGTGTATCACAATTCATATTGGCCACTTGGAGAGAGCTCAGCAGAAAATAATGATCCCAATCTCAGCAGACAGGATGTCCAGAGCARTGGAAGGAGTTGCAAGTGTTTGGCCTAGGCAAGAGAAGACTGGAAATACCTGAGTTTGGAGTTTTAAATCTATAGAAAGCAGCTTACAGGCTGTTGTTGGAACTCCCTTTGGGTAAGAAAAGTAATGTGATACCTAAATTGCAGTGAAAGGATGTAGGTGAGGTGGTGTGAACATTGAGATGACTTGGAGAGGTTGCAGAATGTTTTACAACATGTTGGATAAAACTCTCTTGGGGATGATGACAGTAAAGATGGTCTTGTTTTGGGGCTGAAACATGGGTGAGGAAGCTTCTCAAAAGATGTTAGAGAAGCCAAGCAGTGTCTCAGCAATCACCTTGACAATTAATTCTGGTTGAACTAGTTTGTTACAAACCATGGTGTAATTTGCTTGCCAAATGCTAAGTTTTGCAAGTGCTAAAGTTCTGTCCCAGCTGAGTACCTTTGTTAAATTGAAAACTCTCTCTCTCTCTCTCTCCTTTCTTTTTGTTCATGTGCAGTGTTTCTACAAGGCTGCATGACAGTTAATGATGTATAAAATGTCTTTTACATTGCTGGGAGTACACAGAGAGATTATCTTCTGTGTGGGCAGTGTAGAGATGGAAGTTTGGGAAAGTCATTTCAGTTACATCACTGTGCATAGTTCTWGTTTAAATCATTTCAGTTTTTCTTTGCTCTGAAGGGAGAAATGCGGGGAAAATCAGGATTCATAATRTTCATCAGTATTTTTAAGTTTAACAAACAGGTTTATGTGTAAGTTGTCTTACAGCTTCCAGTTGCTGTAAAAAGATTTCTCCCTTGAATGTCTGTGAAGAGAAAATTACCCAGTAGGATTTTGCATCTCATGGGTGTTATTTCCAGCTAAAATATAAACTCTCAAGGGAAAGCATTTACAGGKCAAGAGGGATTASAGCTAAGTCTTCAGTCAGGCTCTTMGTTCTACMRCTACTAAGGTCAGAGAAAAAGCCTTTATCCATGTGATTGTGTTTGATGTGTTGYTGCACTATTTAATGAGGTAAAAGGAGCCTCTATGTAGTGATGCACTTGAAGGAGGAARCTTTCTGCTCCATTCCCTGCATAGAAGGAACTGAGGTCATCAGGAACTTCCAATCATGGGTGCTTAAAGAGAAACTTTCTATTAAAATTTCTTTTTTCCCCATGCATCTTCTTAAATTATGATCAGTTTCTGTTTTAAATTTGGCAGACAAAATGATCAATATATTGAGGGAAATAAAGTTCTTCCAGCAATCTTTTGATGGGCATATTTCACACCTTGATGCTGTCTGTATTTCTTATTGCAAGTGTTTCAGAGAGCACTGCCTTTATCCATCAACATAGGTAGGCCAAGTTATTAAAGCAGAACAAAGCATTAGTGGGAAATTTATCTTCATCTTTGAAATAATTATGCTGTCTTAATGTGTCATGAAAATCCATCAGTACTTCTTGGTAACATTTATTCCCATTAGGAGCCTAAAAATAGAGGCATTTCCAACRTTTTAGTATGCAAATCCTTTTCAAAYTTCTTATAATTTYATTTTAGTAACTTCTAGGCAAGTTTGCCTTCTTTCACAGGGTCAAAAATTTCTTCTTAATAGCCTCAGAGCATGATAAAAGTTAGAGTAGAATTAATTTATATTATAGAAAATAGTCTGTGGAATTGAATACATACAAAGATGAGGGTATATGCTTTGGTGTGTTTGAGCACAGGCTGCATTTTTTCCTGTCTTTGGTTCTGCCATTTTTTCCCCACATTTTCCTCCTGAGAGGAGGAAGTAAAATAACCTGAGGAACAGGGGATGGAAAGGAAAATAGGCTGAATTTCTTGCCTCTGCTGTGGTTGTGAGTTAGACTGATCAAATGGAGACTGGAACTGTTTTACTGATGTGGGGGCTTTGCCCTGTGGAAATAATTTGAAGTAAAATTTTGGACTTTCCATCTGAAATGAATTTGTTATTATTAATTGGGCATTTAACCGTGAAGTCTCTTGCAAAAATGAGAGTGCAAAATCAGAGTTTTTGACAGGGACAGGCCATAGGTTATGTTTTGTTTTTAAACTGAGCAGTGGTCATTAAAGTTAATTCGTTTAATAGGAGATCAGAGAGGGGAAAGAAGCACAGAACCATGACCTGCTCCCTCTCACATCATGGTGTGAGTAGATGAATCAGTAATTAGTATTTTAGCAGGTACCTAAAGTATTTGGTACTAAACCTAACTGCTTGAAAGTGATTTTTCCTCACTGTTCTGAGTATAGGGAAAAAAAATCATGCAAAACTTGTTGTTATTATGATTTATAACAATTTMATTTCTTACTAAAGCTACTGTCTTCAGTGTTTGTTGAACACCTTGGAAGGCCAGTCTAAATCCTGTTTTGGTAGAAATTATACATATTGTTTACATCCTGAGCTACAGGGTGACAGAAAGGTAAAGAAAATGCGGGTACATGAGGGATCTGCAGTCAGTAAAGACCTTGGGCCCATTTTGCAAACAACAAAACAAAACCTGCAAACAACAAAACAAAACCTGCAAACACTGATTCAGTGCACTGTTTCTTTTCACCTGGAACAATTTAGAACTATTTAGAAACGGTTCATTTAAATCCTGTATCTGTAATAGTGCATCTTTCTACTGTCTCAGTAGGAARAAGACTCCCCCTGTCATAATTGCATGAAAATGAAGTTATTATTTTAAGACTGCTTAGGCCTTGCTCTTCAATTTTTGATTCAGAATGTCAAATKCAATTATGAAATTCAAACTTCAAGTCAGAGACTTAGGCAATCACTTGATCTGAAGTAATTTCTATTTATGTGTAGAACAAAAATTCTTCTAGTAGGAACTCCTGACATGTACGAGTGATCAAGATAGCATGAACACCAGTCTTTGTGTGATGTTGTAGTGAAAGGTCTGGAAGGTTTGTGGTTTGATATAAAACATCAAACATGCTCTGAATCTTGGCATAAAATAACTTCACAGAGAAGTGCGTGCTGCAAGGGAATTGTGAAAATACATATTCAAAGAAAAAACATTTTTCACAGCAGCCAGGCCATGTATAGTTTCTAATGAAGTGAGTCCTTTTCAGCGTTTGGAACCAACAAATAATTTTAAAATTCCTAGTTGAAGCATAAAGGTTTTATTTAATACCTTCCATAATGACTGAATGATCGTGATGATGAATTATAGAGGATTTKATCACTAGGAGTCTGCAACAAGAAGATAAGGCAATAATCTATTTSTCTGCTTGTGGACATGTGTCTGGGATTTTGATTTTTCAATTTTTTTTTTCTAGTGAGTCATGCAAAGATGCATGATTCATTAACAGGTTAGGACAAACTGATAATATTAGGGTCTTTTCACCAATGCCAGGATGTTATTCTGTAATTTTTAGTATTTTCTCAAGGCTCCATTCAGGCATGACTCAGAAACAATTTAATGGTGAAGATATTGATCAATGCTCCAAATCCATCTGTGGTAATTGTCATGCCCTAGAGACTGGATGATTTCCATCAGAGGTTTGAAAGTAAGTTTTCTTATTGAAGAGTAAGCAGGAACACGTCTGGAGCTAAATCAGTTTTTAAATGTTTGTGATTTATTGCTTTGTTTAGTTGCTTTTTATTAGAGTATTCATGATTAGTAGCTGTTTGCCATCAATTGTGTGTAGTGAGGCAGTAGAAAGGGTGATGTTGTGCCATAATTAAACTAATTCAGGAACAGGCTAACAACCAGCATAAAAATATACCCAAAAAAAAAAAAAAAACCAAAAAAACCCCAAAACAAACAAACAAACAAACCAGCAATTCCAGTGCAGGTTTTCTTAATTGTTCATATAGGGAAAAGAATTTGGAGCCAGAAAACGCATTATCCAAAAGAGCAGCAAAGACAAATTTTCGTTGCTCTGAACCTCTGACACACAGCTAATTCATGTGAAGAGACTKCACATAGGGTCAGCATGTAAAACTAGAAATGAAAAATATGTATGGACTTGCAGCAGCCTGTTAGAACCACACTGGGTCCATGAACTGCTGGTTCATCTGGCAGGAGCTTTGATGGGGGATTTTTTCCCTCAGTCTGCTGTTTCTATGTCTCTTGTAGTTTTGGAGATACTGAAAACTGTGACAGTGAATAATTCACAAAATACTAGGATGACAGAATGTTATGGGTTTTTTACAGAAATCTTGTAAAACTGGTTGAAACACTTTTTTGCCAAATAAATTTCCACCTTCTAAAAATTCCTTTCTATTCACCAAGTAAGGTGATATTTTTCTGCTCTGTGTCCTATTATCCCAAGCTCTACAACCAATCTCTTTACTCTGTTTTTCCAACTGTGCAAATGTTGTCCAGAATTTGAGAGTGTGGCAGGTGATTGATGAACTGCAGTAGCTTTGGTTGGCCAAGTTTGTTAATGTGTGTTTGTCTCTGGCTTTTTTCATTTTCCCCATACAGAGAGCTACGGATAGTGACAGGAGAATGGTTTTTTGAAGAGAGAGCAAAACGCTTCAAACAATCAAATCTCGGAACTGATGTTGTCAGACAATCTATCCTACACAAATTCCCAGGTAGGGACCTCCAGAGGGAGATTTGTTTGTGCTCAATATGCTCAAAACCTTGTTTCTTGAATGTTTGACTTGTATTTTATTCCTGACACGGGGAATTGTAAGTATAATCAGTATTTTAATCTGTTTTATTTGTGCCCTACTCTGCAGTGATTTGTGAATGATTAAAAATCAAGAAAGGTAATACCTGTATGAGAGAAGTATCTCTGTGGAGATAGGGAGCTGCTGAAAAACTCACTGTGCAAACAGATAGACAGTGTTAACTGCAAAGCCCAGCAGCAGGGACCCTAAAAGTTCATTCTCAGCTCCTGCCAGGAAGTTTGGCTGCATGAAGAGATCTAAACCCAGCCATTTTTTTGCCTTTGGCTCTCTTATTGGTGATAGTCATGAGCACAAACTGCTCAAATCTTCTTTTTCAACTGTGAAGAAGAAAGGTAAATATGGAATCCTGGCTGTCGACCGGAGCAGGGGCTCTGTCCAGGCCACTTTGTGTTCTGCCTTTTCTCTTGCCCAGGTGTGTCCAACAAGCTGCCCCTGCACTTTTGGGTACAATGAGCTGTCTGTCTGTCTGTCTTGGCCAAGCACAGCAAGTGCATGGTGTGTGTTGTCGTGGTTTGAATGAATTCAATGGGAGCAAAACACTCCCAAGTTCCAGCAAACCTCTCTCTCTCTCTCTCTCTCTCTCTTCCCCACCCGGGTCCTGGAGACAAACTTTTCCACAGAGAGGAAAGTAAAAAGAAAAGGGAAAAAAAGCCCTATTTTTTAAAAATTATAAAAAACAAAACAAAACAAAAAAACCTGTGGAACCAGCTGTTGATCCCAAAGCCTTTCTCTTCCCTCCTGGGAGTAGCTTCACCTCCGGGGCCCCCAGAGGGGTTGGACAGAGTCTCTCTCCGGTGGTTCACTGAAGGATCTTTCTCGCCTGTCGTGCCACAGGAAATCCTCCAATCCTCAGATGACGAAGAAAAAAAAATTGAGGAAAAACAAGTCCAAAGAAAGGGAGAAAAAAGGAGCAGTCCCAGAGAGCAGACAGCTTCTTTTCCGCCGCTGATCCCGAGAGAGAAAAAAACGTGTGTGTCTTGTCCCTTTCCCTGCCATTGTCCTTGAAGGGAGGAACATCACCAAACAAACCAGAGCAGTCTTGACTAATATATAGTTACAGAAGGGTTGTTTAACTTTCCTCTAACATAAGCAGATGATAGGAATACAATACTCAGCTAACCTAGGATATGTGTGAGCAGCCCTGGCACCCTGCAGGGAACCACAGCACTGCTGGTTTAAGAAACAAAGAGTTTTTCCTCAATGCTGATGCTTTGTACTCACTGAACTCCCTCACTGTGCACACAGAAGCTGTTAGATAGTCCATTTCAGATGTAAAATTTATCCCTAATTTTATCCCCTAGCTTTTAACCTAGCTCCAATGGTTTGCAGCCATTGGAAAAAAAGAAAAAAATCATGGTGCCAACCTGCTGCTGGGAAAATACAGACCTTGCCAATATCACTGTTCTTGAGAAGCTGTAAAACTGGCAAGTGTTTAAGTTCTTAGTATTATGTCAGTGGTCATACTGGGTATTTTGAGATTTTTTTTACTTGATAGATATATTGAAAAATATATTTAAGCCATTTTCCCTCTACCTTATTAATAGTGGAATAAACATTTTAATGATGAAAGCATTATTTTCTTTAACAGAAAAGATACTTTACAGTTTGATATTGAATTTCAGGTCCTTTGGTTATTAAATACTGTCTGTGATAAATTTGGAAGTGTAATTCAAGACAAGAGCTGATAATGAGGAACGTCTCAATCTGAAGTTTAATGTTCTTGAAAGAAAAAGCCAAGAAAGTCCCAAAGTTTTCTCATTATGTACTTTAGTAAGTTGCCATGTGCTGTGTTTTTTGTGCAGAAGTTCACTTTTCATTTTCTTTCCCTCTCCACTCCAGACACAGTTTCCACTGCTGATGAAGAAAGAACATACAAAGAACAACCCCAAGAAAATGAAGRAAAAAAGCCAGATGTACCAGTCTCCTCCACAAATGGGCACAAATCTGTCTTTAGCAGGCCTAGAAAAATTGGGTAAATCCTTTCATTTTGTTGGTGATGTTGTTTGTTTTGGTTTCTGGGATTTTTTTAAAAAAACTGATAAATCTGAAACAGCTGTATATGGTTGGATAGGTTTTCTTTTGAGTTTTTCCAGTCTTCCACATCAGCCTGAAACTTCCTGGAATTAGAAACAACCTTCATTTAAAGGCATATTCACTATAATTAGATTGCTGTTTCCTAGGAAATGCAATAGCAATTATTCTTCAACTATAAAGGCAGCAGAAAAAAAAAGTCATTTTAGTCCTGGATTTTTCTTATTTCTGCTCAGAGGAAACAGAGTGCCCTTAAAACCCTTTCCATGGTGGCTGGAAAACTTTGCTTCTGTTGAAAGGGTGAATACATTTTTATTAGGGATCCCACAGATAGGGCAGGTGGATGTTTTTTACACGTTTTTTACTTCTGRGTAGAGATGACTGTGGAATTACCTACTCCAGAAATTAACACAAGGGATTTATCTCTCTTTAATGTAGGAAAAAGAGCATCAGAAAGCTTCTGGCCTCTCAAATTATGGTGAAGAAAGAACCAGCTTAGGGAATCCTCCATAATGGGACCTAGATTTTGCTCTGAGTCATGCTTAGTGGTAGCTATAGTAGGGGTACATTGAAGTTAACTTTTCTAATCCTCCTTCCATTCAAATCCTTTAAGCAAAGCAATTAGTCATATTCCCCTGTGAGAAACAATTGTGGGGTTTTTTTTMATTKTTGTTYATTTCAGTGACTTTTTYCTGTTTGTGGCCAGAAATGTTTTCGGTGGTGACATTCCCCATAACAGGACTTTAATCCTACAAGAACCTGGTTAGCTTTTCCCAGTGTATTTTGTGGCCTCTTTTAGAAGTGTTTYATTATTTTTCCTCTTCCTTGCTTGCTTCTCCCTCCCTCAGGTTCCACATTTGTGTGTCTCATGAGTGGATTTATTTTAGCCAGGRCTTTTTTGGGGCCAGCTGCTACTGACAATGTAATGGGATAATTTAAGTGTCTATTGTTGTTTGTAAGGTTATGGGAAGTACTGTCACTTTTTTTTTTGGAATTTCATTTCATTCATTTCTGTCCCATTTGGCCATGTTTTGCAAGGTAAGGAGGTGAGGCTGTGTTTTTGGGAAATGGCATGTTTGGGGCATTTGATGTCTCAAATTCTATAAATGTTTACAACAGAAAATACATCTAGAGTAATTTTCTAGGGGAAAATACACATACTTAGTAAAAAATACTTTGCTAACTATAAACTCCTAAAAAATAGAGAGAAGTTTTCACAAAAGGCACTTCTGGTTCTAAGCCTGAATAGAAGGAATATTTTAGTATTTTGGTGTCTTAAAATACRGTTTGCAGTACATGTGAAGTTTCTTTCCCCCAGGAAGCAGTTTTATAACCAGATTTGGTGCTCTGTTGACCCTTATATCCAGAGTAGTCCATAGGTTAGCCAGATGTGATTAATGGACTGTGAACAGCAAAATTTTGAAATTTTTTTTTCCCCTTTTATCAACAGGAAGGTGATCAGGGCAGTTACCAAAGGAGAGATTATATATGGAAAAGATGAAGGTGAGAGGAACACAGAGGCTGAAAGCCCAAACCTGCGGGGTGGCAAATCAGCTCCGTGCTCMGAGAGGTGAGCGGGGATCTGGGACAGGGACTGATCTGGGGGTGTGTGCCCCTGCCCTGGGCTGCTTGGTGTCTGGGGATGAGAAACAGAACTTATGTTCAAAAAAAAAAAAAAAAAAAAAAAAAAAAAAAAAAAAAAAAAAAAAAAGCAAACCCCAAATTGCCCAACAAACCTAAAAGTTATCTCCACTCATCTTGCTTTACTCTCCTTGTGTTCAGCTGGTGATTGAGGTCAGTACATTGCTTTTTGTTTTCTGGCTTTTCTTTGATGAGCTGTGTTCTTGTTACAGAACCGAGGCTCTCTGTTTTTCTTGTGTAATGACATGCTAATTGATTATAATTTATTTTTCCTTCTTTAAAGGCTGTTCCCCCCACTCCCTTTCCATGATTATTGTCCCAGTGATTTCTAGTAGGATTCCATTTATCATTCTTCTGGGCCTGAGAGATACCTACTATTGCCTCTGATGACATTTTAAAATGCCAGATGCAACATTCCTCTCATGTCCTACCTTCAAAATAAACTTAAAACCAGCTCATTTTTTCCTTGTTCAGTTGGTTAGCCTACACTGGATACAGACCCACATTCTTTGCTCAGGTGCACACACCTAGAAATTTTACAGTTTGGATTGAAAATGCAATAATAATTTGCTGCAAGTTCCAATAGCAATTTCTGTCTCTAAACCAGTGTTTCTGGGAGTCTCCAAAGAAAAATGCAGGAACAAAGGACAGCAGGTAAAAGGAACATCATGGACTTTAGTATGCACATAGATAAACCTTCTTGTTGAAGCAAGAGCTTGGTTCTTTGTTACCTACAATTCAAAATCCCAATTTCTAGGTGTTCTGCAATATGCCTAAAGCTGATGGTGGTGATCTTCTTGACAGCTGATAATTTGATTTCTTTTTTGCTGCATTGGGTGCTGCAGCACTTAATAGCCAATCCAGCTTTCAAGGTAGTTTTCTTTAACCCATCCAGTTCACTTTTTTGTTCCACTAAGCTTATTAGGTATTCTATATCTAACCAGATTCAGACCTGACTTCTATGCAAAGTAGAATTTTTGCTGTTTTTCTGGATTTCTTGGTTTTTTTTTTTCCATTGAATAGAGATGAGTGAAGGATGTAAGGGACAAAACCTCAGGATGCATCTGTTGTCTGTGCTGCTTTATACTGAGTTTATGTGATATTAGTAGCATTCTCCAAGRGTTTACCAGGGTAAAGACAAATAGATGCTTGTGAGAGGTCTGTGAACTCTTTTTATGTGCCAAACAACAAGAAAGTTATCATGAAGTTAATCATAAATGAAGCAAAATAATCTTGTTGGGTGGTGGARTTAAGCACCAGATAAACTCTCAGTACAGACCTACAAAGAATGAAGTAATCTATAAAGACAGCTTTTATGTTTGATTGCGTTGCTTGACATCCACATAAATCATAATTTTCAAGCTGTTTCCCAGAGCCAGGGTGCAGGACTTGTTAAATTAGGRGTATTGAGTCATTGTGGCAACTTCTTCTCTACTTGTCATCTCATTCTCACTTGGTGAAATTGATGTTCTGTGCCAAAGTGCAGAGCAACACTGTCAAAATTGGTAATATTTCACCTACCAGCAGGGAAACAGAGATTTTTTTAAATTCTTTTTATTCTTTTAAAACACTTCTGGTTAAGAGAAGATGTACTGATCAGAGAACAGGGAGACCCAAGCCATGAATTCACCTCTCCTATTGGTTTATTTCTACTCCAGCAAAAATATTCAGTGATTTTGCTGCTGAATAAGCTGGGAGGCTGCCTCAGGTCAGGATATTTCTAGGAGAAATAGTGTGGGAATTTCAGGCTCATTTACATAGTCTGTACCCTTTGCACTGAGGAATTGTCTCTTACATCCACGAGGAAAAGCCTGGCAAAGTCACAACACCATTTTTCTGTTGTCTACTTAAAATGTATAAAATGTGTCACATCTATCTCTTAATAGCAGGCTGAAATAAGAACAAAATACTCACTTTTTAATAATTTTCATTGTTTAAAAAGGTTAAGAAAGTGCAACAGCCTACCCTTTCTAACCATTAGTGTTCACATGGGCTTACCAGTATTTTCTAATAGAAAATGTCCCACGGAAAAGTTTTCACCTGCTGTGATGTTAGGCAGCAACTGGGGTCTGCTGTGCTGGTCACAGATGATTTTTTATCACTTTTACTAACATGAAACCTCCAAGAAGACCTGTTCAGCTTTCTCAGTTTACCAGTGGTTGAAGGAATCAGTCAGTTCGGGTCAAGAGTCATTGCTACAATATAAATTGAACAGTTGACAAGCTGGTGTTTTTCTGAGAAGTTGGAAAGCGGATAACCAAGGATTTTAGACTTTCTGAAAGCAGTGCTGATGCAGAAGCATCCAGAACTGCCATGAAACTGCAGTTTCCCTTTAGACCAAGGAGCAGCGTGGTAGGAAGGGCTGCAGAAGCTGACCCACGTCCGGTGTGGGTTGAACACGGACCAGAGCAGCTTCTGCAGCCAAACAAGAGCTGCCTTTGGGCCATCTGCACCTCTGGTAGAAGCTCTGACAATGCTTGTCTGATTTGTGAGTGTAAAGTCATTGTTCTTCACCTTTGCCTGTGTTTTTCTTTCCAGGTGATCCCACAGTCCATYAGGGCTGTCACAGTGGTTTGTTAAYTGGGCTGCCTCAGTTTGCCCAGAGCCATAACCCCTCTCTCCTCCTCTCTCCCCACAGAGGCAGCACTGTTTCCCTGAGCAGCAGCAGTGGTGCAGGGGCTGTTGTAGCCCATCCCAGAGGGTTTCCAAGCCCCGGGAGCAGAGGCAGCGCTCCCAAACCCTCCGTGCCGCGCTCGCCGGCGCTCAGCACCCGCAGCATGACCACGGACTGCAGCCRGGTAAGGACAGCTCTGGGGTGGCCCCAAGGACAGCTGGCCCCAAACAGGATGACTGGGCTGGCACCTGCCCTGCTGGATTGGTTTGTAGCACAGCCTGACACAGAAAATCTGATTTCTCCCTCTGTTCTGCTGGAGCCGGTGCAGAATTTGTCATTCTCTCTGCCGGAGCAGAATTTGTCATGCTCTTGTCAGTGATGTGGTTTTTGGMTTGGCAGGCGTTTCACTTTTATCTAAAACTTGCTGTTGGTGTCCAGCATTGTATAATAAGTTGCAGATTCTGAACTGGGAGGCACAAGRGTTGGGAATAAGCACTTTTGGCACTTCAGAGCCTTGAGTAAGTGCTATGAAATAAGGATATGAGTTTCAAGCATGCACGATCCAGCATTCTCCCACTGATTTCTTAAGGAAAACATAGCAAGTCCAACACTTGAAAAAATCAGGTCAAAATTATTTTGCTATTTTTTTTTTTTTTTAAATTTGGACACTGGGCTCTGCATAAATTATTCCACAACACAAAATGTGCGATAAGCACGTTATCAGAATAATTCCTCTCACATGCTGTTTGGCCTCTTGGGATGTATTTACCACTAATGTTTGGAAAAAGAAGGTTCCATTAATAGATGACTGTTTAAATCAGAGCCTTATTGAAAGCATTAGTTTTCTTTCTAACTTCCAGATATTTGGCCTAATATTTGTCTTTCCTGAAGAAATATATATATATATATATATATATATATATATATAGTGTATATAAAAGGCAGTTTGTGGAGCTGTAAAAAATGAATAATTGTTTTATTTGTATTCTTGTTGGCATATAGACTGACTTGTTTTCAAATGCATTAGATTTGTTTTAAAAATCCATTTAATTTAGATGGAGTTATGTTATTGGCCTTTCTTTTACAGGAAGGCCAAAAGTTATAATGATATCAAACATCCTGGCYTTATTGAAGGAGTTATACTGGCATAATTTAATCAGTTCAAGTCCATTTGGTTTTGCCCTGGCTGAAATCATTATGATGGTATAAAAAACATAGGTTTTGTCTTTTCTTTCTTTTTTTTCTGATTTCTGAGCTGAGTGAACTTCTAATATATTTGGCTGTTTCTCTTGGCTGATGCTTTGCTCTGATTCTTCAGCTGCAAATTCAGAATGTAAGCAAGAATTGCRTCTTGGTGCAAATTTTGTGCATGATCAGTGCTAAGCAAAGCAGATTAGATTGGAATCTAAATACATTCAGTAATAGATGGGTGTTAAAGGAGCTTTGGAGTTCTGAAATCTAATAGAAATGATGAGTTAATAGACCAAGAGTGAATAAACTTGGGTTTTTTATTCATGGCATGTACATTTTTCTTATCGGGCAGGACACAGGCTTAGAAAATGGCATGATTATTCCAGCAAGTGAAAGTGTACCTGAAGATTTAGTAAAGAAGCACTGCAGGAAGCCATCTGGAACACCTTCCATTGCAGTTTCTAGGGTATCTTTGTCATCAGGCAAGTATTAAGTGTTTTCCTACTTTCTGCCAGCCTTTATTATCAGAGKATTGTGCCTATTCTTGTGACTGCTCCTTTTGTTTTTAAAACACATTGCAAGATCAGATGTGAGTTTCATAAATTTGTTCATATTCATTCTGAAAATGCTTTCCTTTCACTAGCCATATTCATGCCACAACACAAGTTTTACATGAAAAAATGGTCATCCTTACCCAAGAAATGTTGATACAATGTTGGTGTAAGGTAAATCACACACTCTTAGAATTATTACAAGATCTCATTCACAACTGTATGTTGTTCAGTCATCCTCTGTGTGCTCACCTGTACAAAACACTAAATACTATGTGTATATAACATTACTCTGCTGCTGCCATTACATTTCACACCCACTTTGCTCAGAAGCAAATTTGGGAAACAGTCAGCGATCAGAGAACAAGCCCCTGACAGACTTCTTGTCATTCCATTTTTATATGTGATGCACTGAACCAGTCAATCCATCCATAATTTCCCTCATTCTGTTGGAGGTGTTGGGTAGAAAAGGCTCACACAGGAAGGTGCTGTCACAGCCACTTTGCAGCAGTGGGGGGAGATCTCCTTTTTTCTCTCTGAAATAAGAGCACCCTGCACTCTTCTGCTTCCCCCAGCACTCAGTCAGCTCCCTGCAGGGCTGATGGGCTGGGTTGGGTTCACAGGTTTCTCTCTGAAACACGGCAGTAATCACTYTATTGCAGCTGGATTTAGCCTAAAGCAGAAAGCCTGGTGGTGTACCCCACAGAACTAACCCAAGGAGATAATGCTCTTTACTTCAGACATTGCAGCTTGAAAGCACTAAAATTTCATGGAGAAAATTGTTCAGTGCAGATCCAGGCAGAGGTGTTACAGATGGCTGCTTCTTCAGGAAGCAAAAGTTCTCCCATTCTTTCCACCTTATAAAATAAAAGCTTTCCTGGTAGGCAAGAATTGACCTCGTGTTACCAAAGCAGATGGATGCTGAGCAAAACTGTAGGCAACTGTTGGCAACCCAGACACTTCATTATCTCCTTGGCAGATCTCAAAGGACATGAGGCTCAGGAGAGTGACCCTTCCTGTCACATCAGCTCTAGACCAGGTAGATGAACAGCTAAAAACTTCTCAGATTCCTACCTGCAGGATCTAAAAAAAGTTATCTTCCCCCATCTTTTATTTCTAAATATATAGAAATGTATAGAAACTGTCACACAAAGTATTTCTATGGGGAGGATTAAGATGCCTTGGAGAAAGATTTTCTATCTCATGCTATAGAGTGGATGAGAGACCTGTAGGACTGAGTGAAACTGCTGGAGCTCTTGAGATTTATTTGTTTTCTCCCAATTTCTTCACAAGGAACACCATTTATGACAGAAGTACATTGAGTCCCTCTGTATCCCCAGCTGCCTGATTCTGATGCAGATGCTGGGCAGGGTTTGGTGGTGGTGGTGATAGATGTGACAGTCACTGTGAACATCTGGACAGAGAGTTCTGCAACATTCCAGGCTAAACTGCCTGCAAGAAAAAGTCAAAACCTTCATCTATGGTATCATCCACAGGAGACAATCWCAGCAGAAAAATAAATAGTGCAGGGGTAAATTATTGCCTGGAAGGCTGAATAGCATCAGAAAGCATATTTCTCCATTTATCATTATGATGTTAATTTGCAATAATTTTTGACAGATTGTTTTGATGTTTTTTTCTTAAAAAACCAATTGGGTTCAGGGCAACACTTGTATGGAAGACAAAATGGAATATTTCTGTTTAAACTATAGCAAACATTTTAATTCTTTTCATTTTGCAGACCGCAGCCGATCTGAGATCGATTTGAGTGAATCTTTCTCTGAAGGGAATGAGGACACTCTGAGCATAAGGAGCAAATCTGTACCTAGTGCCTTAGATCAGGAATTGGTGAGTTATAAATATGCAAATATTTATCTGCTGGAAATTCTGGTTATTCAGACCTATGAAATCAGCACTGTATGTGTATATTTTTATAAAACATAGGCAAGGCAGACCATTCTTTTGGGGATATTTATTGAGTTTTTAAACAATGTCATCTTCTGAGTATGTTGGCTGTAGAGTGATTTCAATAAAAAGTCATKGCTCCAGTTTGTTGTAAATTTGCTGGGTTTTTGAGCTCACAGAGGAGAGAAATCTAKCCTGAAGATAAATTACAGGCACTAAATTGCACATGATCCAAATTCTGTTAATTCAAACTTCCACAAATTTTAATTTCAATGCTGAGAAATTCCACACTTTAAAGCTTTTAATCTTTGTCTGGTCTGGTTTTTACCATTATCTGTATTTTTGGCAAAGCATGACCCAACTTTCTGTTCTTCCAATGTTGTTTGTTTTTTCTTCCTTTTGACTCTTCCATACATTTTCTTACCTTTTTTKGTGTATTCTATGGACTGCTTTTCCTGAAGTGATTCACAGCTTCCATCTCTCCTTATGCACATATCCAAGACAGGCAATTTGCAGATGTGCATCAATGCTATAAAAGCACCTCCAAGCTTTTTAAATATGCATGAGGAAAAAAAACCCAACAGTTATTTTAACAGCTCTTTGTCTAATCACAGTTTGTTTTAAAGTTTCCAAATGTGTGCTTGTAGCTTATGCACTTTGCCTGTTGTCACAGTCCTTCCCTTTTATCTGCTCTTTCCAGAAGAGTATTGGCCATGCAGATGTCTCCCCTTCTTGTAGTGTTGATATTTTGATATTTGAGCCTTGGTGGAAAAAAATGTGTTGGAATTTCCATATTTTCTTGGATTAGTAGCAGTCAGAAGATGTGCCTGCAGCATTTCTTTGGGTTAATCTTTGAGGAATTAACAAAAGATCTTCCTGTATATCATAGGTTGGTGAAAGACAATCTTCAAAAATAAGTGGTTTATTTTTAAMTTGTAATGAAGAAAAGAGATGTGTTCTTTATTAAGAGTTTGAAAAGGTTGCAAAAGAAAAGCACAAAATAAAAAATGCAGATTTTACATTTCTTTTTATCTGTTCTCTGTTCTAATTGACATTTGCTACTTAGATATTTCTCTGAGGCAGCTGCCAGAGATGACAAACCCAGAGAGGTTTTCTGTTTTTTGATTTTTGACTTCTTAGTCAGAGGTTTGGTTTTGCTTTTCTTTCTTGCTGACTCCGAATGAAATTTCAGATTGCACGTCTGCAACTCTGTAGCTTCTTTGCCAGCATAGAGACCTCTCTGGAGGCACAACCTTGATTTAGCTGCTCTGGAGTCTGAGAGAGTGCTAATTCCCCTTTAAAATTCAATCATAACAGGAGTCACAGATCTCTGATTCTCCCTATATCCTCACTTTCTCTGCCTTATGAAATGAACTGATTGCATTTATCAGCTTTTGTGCTACCATATTTATTCAGGGTCGTTTGTCTCACAGGAGTCCTTCAGAGTCTTGTCCTGTATTCATTATGGATGCAGYGTTTTGAGATAAAAGCTGCATTCCTGCTGGAATTTATTTTAGTTGAACCTTGAATGTAAGAGAGAAAAAGAAAGATATCTGATGAAGGTAATACCAACTCCTGCAGCCTGAGAAAGTTGGAGTTCCACCTCCTTTTCTTCTAGCTGGGGTCCTTCACTCATTTATGGTGATGGAGGTGACAGCAGTGATATTAGAGATGCACTTTGCTGCAATTTATCAGCTGAAAGGATGGGAAAGGGCTTTTAGCTGCTTTTCTCTCAACATTATCAGGGAAACCCACTATACACTCAGAGAAATCAGCTGGAAAATTGAACAGATATTTTGCTTCTCTCACTTAGCACTGCTTTTGGTAGTGAAACAGAACAAGCCCCAAAACCCACATGGTGTGGTACAGATTTATCAAGGAGCACAGGGAACCAGCTAAATCCAGCATTGTGTTCATGTGTGAGCCCCTTATCTGGAGGGGTGTGAGCTGAATTCCTGACCAAGYAGTGTTCATTGCATGCTCAGCTGCTTTTTCAGGAGTAATTGGATGATGTGCATTTTACAGCCCCCACTGGAGACTGTGAAACTAATATCYTACTAGCTCTAACTTCAATAAGCTAATAACACCAACCAATTATGTAGCTGCAGTTCTGTAACACCTCCTGAGAAATAGAATCGCCATGGTGCAAAATAAATTAAGAGCGCAAGTTAAATATTAACCTTTTTTTTTAAGCTTTAGATATCTGCTTGCAGACAAAAATGGATATTCAGCAGTTGTGAGGACTCTGTGAAGTATCTAGACCTGAAATACCCCACACCAAAGATGTTGCCTTACTTTTTTTTTTCCCCCTGTATTTAATTATTTAGCAGTAAAAATGTAGTATTGTTTATTTTCAAGTTAATTGGGATGCATACAACAGTGCAAAGGAAAGTTTTGCATACATTACTATGATTGCTTCTTTCTGTTCTGTGGGCAAGTAAAAAAATTGTGTTTCCTTGTTCAAATTTTAAAACTAGACTATGTCACCTGACATCTGAACTCAATGAGGGGAGTAGAAAGGAAGGGTGGATTGGGTTTTTTTTGTTTGTTTTATTTCAGATTTTTGGGAGTTTTGCTTTTGAATGATATAGCAGTCTGTTCCCCTAAAATAGTTTGCTCTGTCGTGCCGGGGTTTCCAAGGAATTTTTTTTCCTTTTATTTAGTATAAAGTTTCTATTACTTCTATTTGTTTTTTTCTGTGGGTTGGTAACTGCCTTCAGTAGTTTAGAAAGTTAAGAGAGCAGCAGAGCAAGCTCATGGTAAGAACATGAAGTTAAGTGTTTCTTTTGCATRTAAATTTTGGTGATGGCTTGTCCTGATTTCCCTCTGCTCAATATTAAATATGCAGATACAATTGGAAAGCAGAAATACAAAATAACTTTCAGCTGATTTCATATCTGTTCAGACACTGCAGAAAAGGAGAAGAGACGTAACAGCCAGTTTTACGTAAACTATGGCAAATGTACTGCAGATTTTTTTTTTCTATAAACTGTGACAATTCAACTCTCTAGCAGCATTTCTTCCCTGACCTTTTTTTGCTGATTAGCACAGAAATCTTTGAGGCTTCTGGATTTGAAAAAAGTGCTTCTAGGTTTAGTTTCAAAGAGTGAGAACAACTAAGCAATAGAGAATGGGGTAGGTCAAAAGGCAGGGTTTCATAGCTGCAAAGAAGATTTAAGGAAGTTGAGCATTTGACTTCCATTAAMAGTAAAAGCAAAGTCTTTCAAAATATACCTGCCATAAGGTTTATGGAAACACTGAGATTTCCAAGCTATGCTTAGTAGGATTATAATTGTGTGCTGGCATTTTTTTGTGTTATTTTGCTTAAAAGTTAAGAGTCCCATTAGGGCCATCAATCAGATCTAAAGATTTGGTTTAGATTTTTGCTTTATTCCTCTGTTTAAACAATGATTTTTTTTTTCCTGTATATTGGTTAAAGATGCTAAATTTCAGTCTTGTTTATTAAAACTCAAGCACCTATATAAAGCTGTGAAATTACTGATTTCCCACCTTTTWTTACTAAAATAATACAGAAATCTGATTTTTTTAATGCTCATCAATTGGCTTGATAAGACATGAMGTGTATGTGTGAAGTTTTTCAGTTATTAAACAATTGAATCCTGAAACTGTAGCAGTCCCTTCCCCTTACTCTCCTTGTCTGTGTGAAGAGGTGGAAAATGTAAATCAAAAYTCCTCTACAGAACAGAATTGGAGTGCATCCAGCACCATCTTCCTGAAGTGGAAAACTTGTGAAACAAAGCYCAGTGACAGAGGCTGACAAATACAGAGCAGAACATGACAACTAAAATRCCTGTTTGTCATTTAGGGTTATCTGGATGAAACAGAAGAAGACATTGATGGCATAGTGGCCTCTCGTTACCCGAACAAACATGAACAAATGACAAGTGGATTATCAACAGTAAGGTCTTGAGTAGAAAACATGCATTTCCTTCCACAAAAGATCATATTTCCTCCAAAAAGTAATCAAACTTCATATCACTTACCACATTCATCTTCCATTCTACTCCTGAAAAGCATCTTTTAACATTCAGATAGATTTTCTATTGTATTATTAATGCTGCTCAAAGCTAAAATACTRTTCTCTGCAGGGCCTGGAAAGAGAAAACTATTTTGTATGCTCATTAGCAGATTTCCTCATATGCTGGGGTTATTACCAAGCTTCCATGTGGAGATGTTTGCAGTGTGTCACTGCTTGGCTTTGCAGAGGAGCTCTTGATCTTAATTAAATTGAAACAATGAGAACAAGGCTGGGGTGGGATCTCCTCTCTCAAATCACTTTCTGGTTTTTTAGATTCTTGGGACACAAACACTTGTCTGTGTGTTTGCATACATACCACTTCCACGGAATCATTGTCCATCCCCCAACCCAGCTTGTCCCATTCTTCATGACATGATTGCTAAACCCCCCATATCTRGAAAAAGTATTTACCTTTACAGGGAGGAAGGAGATGCCTGGGGATTTTGGTGAAATAAAAGCATAACTGCACCTGATGGTAGCAGGTGCTTTTGAGGTGCAATAGAATTGGTATGAGAAGCCTTCTGCTGTTCGTTATGCAGTCTGTTACTCACTGGGAAAGAAAATAGATTATAAAGGTATCCTTTAATATGTCTAGTTTATTACTATCTGCTGCCTACCTCATTTTTGGGATTGTGGGTGACTGATAAGATCTGCAGACAGTCCTCTCTGGCCACCCTTCTTTATGGCTTGTGTTTGAGAAAGGCCCTGGACAGCATAAAGCTGTAACAAACTCTAGGTAGAGTGTGAGTGCAGAAGAAGATGAAGAAGGGTGATGAGTCTGAATACTAGAAGAGAAGAGAAAACTTGGTCCATGACAATAACCAAAGAACTGTCCTCTCTAGATTGCACCCCCATGCAAGCAAGGCCAAGGGAATCCCCACTGAAGCTCGAGATCCCAATGAAATTGAGTTGGCTGAACCCAAGCTTGGCTTGCATGGGGAGGAGAAAGGGCTGAGAATATTAACATCACAGAGCATTGTGGCCATGTTCCACACCATTTCCCCACTGATTTGTGTAGTTCACCAGAATAGACACAATAGGGAGTGCAGCTTTTCACACCCAGTCAGACCAGAGTGTCTATAGCCTGTTGACACTGGAATAATTGCATCCATTAACCAAGGCTGACTGTGACTCACAGCCTCCARTGCTTGCTGGTCCCACGGATTTTATAGACAGAATAATTTTCATTTCCTCTGAATAYTGATAGGAGGGTTGCAGGGGCCTAAGAGCTTACTCTGTTAGGTGACTGATTAAGGAACTGCATTCGGAGATCCTTCCCTCTGTGCTTCAAGAAGCGTTCTGTCCACGTGCTGGGTTTTGTCCTTTGCTGTAGATTTCCCTCTGACCTTTCTCTTAAGCAAAGTGCAACTTTTCCAGTGCTGTAGGTTTGAGATAATCTCACACCTCAATGCTCCTGTCTCTCCTTATTCACCATGACATGATTTTTAATGTCACTGCATGCAGTGTTAATGGCAAAGTTGTGAATGGCCAGCTGCTTCTCCCTGCAAGAGCAGGTCAGCTTTACARGTTCATTTCTTTATTCCCCTGAAGTGTGTTGCTAACATTTCCCCACCATATTTTCACCTTCACTTTGATTGTYTTAAGCCTTTGAGCCTTCTTGCACTGTATGATTTTTTTTTTATCATGTACTATCTGTCAATGTGTACTATTAAGTCACATTGAAATAATGTTATTAATGAACAGTCGACTCTATCTGTATGGTTTTTTATTTTCTTTCTTTTTTTTTTTTTGAATCTGAGAATTTAAAGTAAGTATGGCCAGTCTTACAATGAATATTTGAGGAAAAGAAAGAAATATCACAAAGGGTAAAAGATATTTGAGATCTATCTGCAACATGAGAGAGCAAAAATGGAAGTGGAAAGTGACATTGAAGAGAAGCCGTATCTCAGTGCTAATCTTTTATTTTGTGTTTTCCCAATGCCATTGCATAAATTGTGAATTTAGTTTTCCCTTCATCCTCCATATATTTATGTGGTGTTGTCAAGACCCACCATGTCAGTGAGACTAAAATATTCCTRTGCTTTGCTGCAGTGATAAGTTATGATGCAAAACAAACATAATTCTTAGCGGGGTACAAAAATGAGACTGCATCCTTCATATGTGGTTGTTTGCTCCTTACTAAACAGGAATATGAGTATRTTTCTTTAGGATTTTACATTTAGTGTGTAATGTCCAGTGTAAATACTACACAACAGAGTCTGGGAGCGGGACAAAAAGTGAAGTATATAAAATTCTACTAAATTTTTGTGATTTTCTTTATGGTTTGTAAGCAATTCAGAAATTGTGTTTGCATAAATTCAGGGTCAAGAACCATATATTTGATTAAGTCCTTCTGTCAGGGTTTTTTTTCCCCCCAATCATTTATCCCTTGCTGCCTGCTTACATAAAGATTGAGGAAAAAAGTATTTGGATTAAAGAGAGAACCMTTTGGGGTAGAAAACAACTCATCCACTTCTTTGTGTTGGTATAACCTTGGGTTTTTTTTCTGAAGTGGGCATACAAATTGTTAAAGGGATCATTTAGGCATTTTTTCAGCGCTACTAAAATGGTTCAATTCCCTAACAGTGCCCAAGGATATTTTCATGTATTCTAGAGGTAGAAATGCATACATGGTAAAGGCTGGAGTTTAGCTCAAGGCATGTTAGGAGCTAAAGGAAATATGACACATTGGTCCATGTGTGTTGATAATTTTCCAGTAATTTTACCAGTTCTGTCAGTGGAATTTCAATTATGAAAAAGATTAAAAGGATAATTACTTTTCTTTCTTTCTGTCCTTTTTTTTCTTAATTAAGGATAAAGAAAGCCATCAGAAATACATTAAAAACTTTTTTTTTTTGCTATTTATTGTTACTGTATGGGGCATAAAATGAAATTTATGGGTAATAATGGCTTATATAAATAACCTTTTTTCCTGTCTGTTGTTGTTTACCACATTGACACAGAACTGTTTATCCCTTGAGCCCTCTGTGCAGCAGGGCCCTTAGGCAGGGTGCTTGGAGAATTGGGATTTGTCACAAATTCTTTCTGTGTGGCTCTTTCCCTGGACTTTGCTCTTCCCTGCAGCAGCAAGGAAGGACACGGATGGTGAGATCCTGCTTTAGCAGGCAGARGAGGAAAAATGCATTCCCCAATAATCATTTACTGTATTTTTTTCCCCAAAAAGTGATGTTTCAACATTTTAGCGCAATTGCCACCCATTCTTTTGAAATCCATGGAGAAACTGCCCTTTTTCACAAAGGCACTGCTGCTGCAGATACAGGAATTCTTAGCTTTTGGCTGGTTTCAAGGAGGATTGCCATGGGCRTGGGCATGAGAACAAATCCAGATATAATCCAGTATGAATCCAAACCTGYTGAGCTGTTGTTCTAAAACATAACTTGTTGTTTTGATACAGAGGTTACCCCATTTCTAATTACTTTGAACCACACACCCTTCATTACTTGAAGTGTATGGAAAACACAGCATTTCTCTGATTTGGCAATACMTTTTACTCTTTTTCTCATTATGGCTTTGCAATAAAAACATCCTTTACCTTTCTRTATACCTAAAGATTTCTCACTGCATTCATTCTTTCTTACTGCAGCAATCTAATGCTCTTTTTTTCTTGATCTTTTGCACTGCCTTKCTTAAAGAACTCCCCAGAAGGCTCTGACAGAAAATGGACATATTTAAATGTGCCTGAAACAGATGGTGATACTGTGAGTTCTCCTGAATCCTCTGGTCTAGCTTACTTTTAAGGTTTCTCTCTCCTTTCTCCCTTTTTGTTGTGGGCTGTACCTGTGTGTCTTGCAARGTTTCTATGTGTCAGAATTTAGATGGTTATATATGTTTTATGAGCATCTTGTTCAATGACTCAAAAGGAAAYGTGCACCAGATTTCTTGAATGCTTTTGGTTCTGGTAGTGTGCTTATTTCTCTAGTTTTCTTTAAAAAATATCCAGYTCTTTCCTAATTGTAAACTTTTGGGAGAGGGAATTCTCATAGCAGTACTCTGCATTTATTTAGTGTGAAGGAAAAGGGATTGAGGTTCGTGTATTATGTTTGTAGTGGAAAATTTCGTGGTATTATTGCTAAAATGTTTTGACTTTTCAGAATTCGCAGAAATTGGGTGGAGGTTGAATTTTGCTTCTTCTTTTAGAATTATTAATGAGAGACAGGCACCACTTGAAATAAAATATGGTTTTATACCATGTTCWTTAGGGGAAGCATCCTTACAAGTTTTCCTAAGGGCTCTGTCAGCAGTGAGACTTAGTAAAAATTAAGTGAGCAGCCGAGCCACAGAAGTGATTTTTTTCTTTTTTTCCTGCTTAGAACTTGCATGAGCTTACAATTTATGTAGCTTGTCTGCTCCTCAGTTCATACATTAATTAAAAAGTGGTAAGTTAGATTTAGTCATGTTTATAAATATGTTTGAGATGGAAAAAACATCAGTCTTGACATTTAAACTACTATTAACTTCAGTTCTTATTCCCTTTACATCAAATCGTGGTATTGCTCTTCTATGATATATCTGTTTCCATAGCAAGGTCTAACAAGTGAGACAATACTGCAAGAAAAAAAAAAAGAAAAAAAAGAAAAAAAAAGAAAAAAAMAAAAAAAAAAGGAAGCAGATTTTGGAGAAGAGTAATGAGTTTCAGCCTCTAAGGTATTTTTCTGCTCCCCTCCAGACGAGCATTAACAGCATGATGAGTGTGTACAGTGAAACTGGTGACTATGGCAACGTGAAGGTCAGCGGTGAAATCCTCCTCAACATCAGCTACGTCTACAAAACAGGGGCCCTCAACATCCTGGTGAGGAGCTGCAGAAACCTGGCCATTGCAGACGAGAGGAAGCACAGGACTGATCCGTAAGCACAGAGAAAAAAAATGTCCCTAAGCTCTGACAGGGGTGTCCCCACCACGCCACACCCTGACTGGAACCAGGGCTTTGATATGGGAATTCACAAATGCTGCTCCAAGCAGCATTTTGGTGATGGTTGGGTTTGGATTCCCTGTGGGAATGGCATTTTCTGTGTGCATCTTAGGGCAACATGTGATTGTTCTGGGGAACAAAAAGATTATTTAAATAATCAACCTGTTTGAGAGCCAAAGGGGGGAAAAAATGAAGGAATAGGGAGGCAGCAGTGAATTTCTTGTACTYCTTTAATCAAGGCTAAAGAATATGAGAGGACTGATGTCCTTTGGAGGCAGGGATTAATGGAAATYACGTTTTTCATGCTCCCATAGATTCACTTTGCAAGTACCATGATTTCATTATAGTTTTCAGTGCAATACGTAAATTCTCTCATCAGAAAGTAACAATGAGTGTCTCTAATCATAAATTATGAACTTTTCAATTCTCTTGTACTTTTAGTGTATATTTTGTCATACATAGTCAGTAATCATATGTTGCAAAAGAGAAATTGCTATGAAATCTTGCTGCAATTCTGAGGATAAATAAATTAATTTAGCTCTGTTATTTGTTATTCTGATCTTATCTAGCACTGCTATGTTTGCAGGTAAAGGTCATGCTTTTCCATGTTTTGCATATTCTCTGCAAGATTTTTACACTGTTTATACTGCAAAAATTAATTTCTCCATAAGTGTTGCTGATGCAGCAATGTCCATTCTTTGTTCAAGCTGGTCATTTTCCATTCCTTGCTAATATTTTTCTCTTTGCTCTGCAGATATGTCAAAGCCTACCTTCTGCCTGACAAGTCCCGCCAAAGTAAGCGCAAGACCAAAATTAAAAGTAACAGCACCAACCCAGAATTTAATGAGACTCTGAAGGTGAGAACAGTCCCTCTCTCATGCTGTGATGAATGTTTCTCTTGTGCTCACAGGTATTTTCTATATGTGCTCCAGCACAGGGATTAGAATTTGGGAGAGATGCCTCAAAAGGGAAGGTGTTTAAGCAAAAGCATCTACCAAACCCATGAGTTGCAATTTCTGGCTTTCAGCATTAAGGAAGTGGTTTTGTTTGGTTCTCCCCTTACAGTTAAAAATTCTATTAATTGCCATAGATTTCTTTCAAAACTGTTGATGTTTCCATCCAGTTTGAGCTTAGAGTTGTTAAAAGCACCTTAGASGTTTTATACACCTGATGCTGAAGTAAAGTTAGATTAAAACTTCCCATCTAAYGGATTTTTGAAGAGAAAGCAACATTTTTCATTAAGATTTGAATCCTTCTTGAAGCTTTAACTTATTTCTAAAGCAGAACTAACTTTGATAAGAAAATGCCAACAACTGCTTCACCATTTGTCKTCTCAAAAAGCTGTGGTGAATTAAATTTTCTGTTGCAATGGACTTGATGCGCTTGAGGACACAGCACCCAGACTCTTCTTCCTCGCCCTTTACCCACCCTTAYGACAGAGGCTGAACTCTTTTGAGCTCCTCTCTGCTGCTGATTCACCTCCCTGGCTCTGTGGTGCAGGGGGGAATGGTGGAGTTTTTGCTGCCCCTTTATTGCCTGGCATCTTGACCTCAATGTTCCTGGTGATTCCCTTYCCAGTCAATTGAAGGGAGTTATCTAGCAGGCTGTCATGAGGCCAGAAACATTTTTTAGTTTCTCCTGATTTTTTGTTTTTTTTCAATTTCAGGGTTTTTTTTTTTGTTTTTTTAATAAGTTTCCTATAATAGAGGCAAATAGATGTTCCCTTGCCAGTGTACTTGGCTTAGCCTGGCTACAAAACCATTTTGCAGGCGCACACACTCAGTCTGGCCAGACTGCTTGCCAAGGGAGAGTCTTTTTATAGCCCCATTTTTAAATGGTATAGAGTAAAGTTAAGGCTTGCCTGAACTGGGAAAAAAATAAGACTTTTATTATCAAGTAATATAGCACTAAACTTTTTTGGTAGGAATTCCTCAAAACTACGGATTGTAACAAAAGGGGCTTACTTGAACAGTGGGTGGGTAAGGAAGAGTTGTTCATCTCAACTGCAAATCCTGTTTAAAAAAAAGAAAAGTAATTAAATGTGTTCTGTATCTTCCTTCTTTGTCTTTTACTCCATTGCTGCTGACTATGATGTTTCTCACAGTGGAATAGTTGGGATCTAGGAGTAAGCATTGTAGATATATCTGTACATAATTAGCCAACTGTTTCAGCTTTTGGAGAGTATTTGTCCACATCCAGATATTGTTCCTGCTGCAAAAATAAGACATCTGGGTCTCTTCAGCTAATGCTAGGAGAGGGGAGAATGCCAGGGAAATAATGGACTTTTTGCTAAAAGTAGAGTCTGCAGAGCTAGAATTCCAGATGTTTATAATTTTCTGTATTTGCTAGACTACAATGCTAGTTTTTTAATAGCTTTGGTATATTAATAGCTATAGATGAGTTTTTTWAGAGATTTTAAACCCAACAATGGTTACTGATAGGTTCATTGTATGCTTTGTAGATGCTGTTGTGTGTGTTTTCAGAACAATTTTTGTAAGGTTCAAAGCCAAAACTGGAAATGAGAGGATGCTTTCTGGAAAGCAGTGTTCAGCAGATTCTCTTTAGGGCTGAAAGAACCAGTGGGGTTTCTTCTATTTATCAGCCTTGATGCTGATCTACTTCTTTTACATAAACTTACAAGGAATTAATAGGATGATAATTTTAAAAGTAATAATTTACCTTATAGTCATAAATACCCTGAAAATAATACAGGAGAGGAAAAAGCCACAATAGTAATAATAACATAAATTATCATTGGATGCATACAGYAAAGAAAAATCTCACATCAACATTGAGCTTCCTGGCTAGATCACTCTTGTTTGCAAGGAAAACAAATCTCTCTTTCATGCTCCATTTGTTAGCTGCTGTGGGCTTTGTGAAACTGAGCTAGAGCTGTGAAAGGCTTAGTGGAAAATATTATTTCTGCTTAATCTGAGAGTTTCTTTTTCTCCCTTTCTGTTGGTAGTATGTCATCAGTCAGTCCCAGCTGGAAACCAGGACCCTGCAGCTTTCTGTCTGGCACTATGACAGGTTTGGACGTAACAGCTTCCTTGGGGAAGTGGAAATTCCATTCGACTCCTGGAACTTTGAAAATCAGGGCGATGAGTGGTTTGTGCTCCAGCCCAAGGTAAGGGCTTTCCAGGACTCAACTTCCTTCTTAATTCAGTAAAAGCTTACTTGTTTTAAAATCTTCATGAAAATTTCACTACTGATTGGCTACTTAAAAACAATAACAAAAACAGCTTTTAAATAAACCATAAGTTCCTCCTGTAGTAAACTCCARTAGAAAAATTACCTAGTAAATACATTAATTTTTCCAAATAACACATGAAACAAAGAMCTCTCCTACCATTTCCCCTACCCAATCCTTAAAAGGTTATTAAAGAAACAAGCTTTTTTTTTCAGTTCGTGTTTTATACCTTTCAGATGTGACAAAATCACTTCTTAATTTCTTGTCTACCTTAACTAGAAAGATACAAGATAAGGCTTCTCAGTCACCAAATTAATTTCAGACCAAATTAATTGGTCTGTGAAACTGGGGGTGCAGTGTTCTTAGTGAAGGATGGGGTGACTTCTGTGCCCAGGGCACCCCTGCTTTGGGAAAGGTGTTTATTTTTGGAAGAGATTCAAAGAGCRTTGTAAATAGAGGATTAAAGGCTTCTGCCTTGCTTGCTCCTGCAGCAGCCATAATCCCCAGGGCTTTAAATTGCCATTTAAGAAAGTATATTTTTCTAGTTGTGAAAAAATTAAGGAATGCASCAAATGTGGTCGAGACTAGATGTGACTTGTTTTTTCTGTGTTCACTAAATTTAAGGACACTGTATTATATTTGGGATTTCAGGAGAGCATGTTTGTTTTTTGCCTTTCTATCTGGTGGGAGATGGATTTGATTGCTGTATAATTAATTTCTAGGAAATTTCTTTTCAWCCTAACAGGGGGAAAATAACTAAAGAATTCATTAATCTCTTCTGTTCAGGAAAATAAGTAATGAGGCTCTAAGCATTTCAGCCAGTCCAGCTGGAAGGTGTTTTCTGATTATTTCCAAACCCATTAAAAGGATTTTTAAAGCACAGAAACATGTACCAAAATCATATAACARAATCACAGAATGGTTTGGGTTGGAAGGGGACCTTAAAGATCATTGAGTCCCCAACCATCTGGATAGTCCCACCTCCATCTCTCCAAGTTAGATCTCTCCATGTTACATCCAATGTTTTTAAAATGTAGTTTCCAATTCCTTACAATGTGAGTCAAGTTCAGCACACTGCCAGTTGAACTGTTAAAAAAATATCATTATTATTTTAACAAGGATAGTCTGAAGAGTACCAATTGCATTCTTCCGGGTAAGATTAAAAAATTTTTAAAAGGGAAAGATGTAGAAATAYAGAAGTAGTAGCTGTGTAGAAAAGGACACTGGGAATAACTGTTTGTAAGAAAGTTTTCTGTTTCAAAACTGCACTCTGCTCTCCCTCACCTTCTTTCCCCACACATCTATTACAAAGAGTGACTCAGGACTGACTCCTCTAAAATACATGAAACTAATTAGATTTTAAATCCCAACTGGTTGAAATAAGGGCTGACTATCAGCTTAAATCAGCTACAGATTATACACTCAGAAATAAGTTTAAGGGTTTTTTTTTTGCTGTTAGTTCATTTACTCATGCTGGATAACTCTCTCCTCCGTGTGTTCACTGAACAGTGTCTAATGCCACATGGGTTTATTTTTCTGACAGCTTGCATTCCCCAGCTCAGAAAGTTTTCTAAAATGTGATTGCCTTCAATTTGTAATATCTAATTATCTGGAAGTGGGCTGGTACATCTTGGCGTATTTAACAAGTGTTTCAAATGCTGTATTGATCTACTGATATATTTCAGTAGAATTAAATTCAAAAGGAGAAGGTGATTGACTAACCTTGGCTGGATTTCTGTTTTGTTTGTTTGTTTGTATGTTTGTTTTCTCCTCAGGTGGAGGTTGTGACAGATTTTGGGCTTCAGTACAAAGGAGAACTGACGGTGGTTTTACGTTATATTCCCCCAGACAGAAACCTAATGCTTCCTCTGGGGCAGTTTCAAGGTAAAACAAAAATTGATGGCAGCGTGTGATAACATCCCCCTGAGTACCAAAAACCCTCACCTAGGCTGAAGTAATGGTACTGGTAAAGGTTGAAATAATTCTTAAATATGATTGTTCAGAGAATCACATAATGTTAAAGGGTTGGAATGGACCTTAAAGATCATCCAGTCCCAACTCTTCCTGCCACTAGATCAGRTTGCTCAAGGTCTTATCYAACCTCACTTTGGCAGTTGTGTTTATCTGTGGAAATTCTGAACCATGAGTGTGTTTCTTTTGCTCCATCCTTTTCTCCTACATTGAACTTMAGGAGAGAGAAAGGAAAAGGAATATGCAGTCAAAGGTTGATGCATGGCTCTGCTTACTTAATGTCTGGATTTTTTTTTTTAATTAACATGCTCAAGGGCAGCAACAGAAGAATAAATTGTCTGCATTGTAGACTGTGAGTTCTTTGTTCAGCTAGTTACAGTGTTTAGCTGATCAAGTAATAGATTTCACTTAGTTCTTCATGCTTAATTCACCATAAGCTGCCTCCTCATTTTCACCCTTTTTTCCGCACTGCTTGTCCTCTGCTCAGTCTTGCTGTATTATTGCTGCAATTTAGTCCTGTAAAAAGTTATTTGAATTCTTTATGGTGAGCCATTACTTTCATCAGCAGTGAACAGGGAAAAAGAGTTGTTATCCCTTTGCATTGTAGCAGCATGAGGAACAGAAATCCTTTGAAATGAGAGCAATCACTGGGCAGCACCTGAGAGTACATGAATATACCAAATGCAGGTGTATCACTGTCTGAGAGACAGCATTGCTTGAAAGAATTTGCATTTGTTAGATTAGATTTATTTCTTTCCCTTTCTTTTTTTTTTTTTTTATGACAGATGATATTCCTTCTGCTAGCAGTAAGGTTTTCTCAAGGTTTGCTCTCTTAAAAGCTAATTGTTATCAGCTCAGTCCAGACACGCTGTCTGCGTTTTCTTAAATTAGTRAATTTTAACATCATTGCTGATTTTTTTTTTTCCTTGATGTTTTCACCCTGAATCAGCATGTACAATCTCTGCTGATAAAAGCTGCTTAGAACTTGCTGCAGCAGCTGTATGCCCCTGTGCTGCTGTTTGGAAGCAGCARCGTGTCAGGGACAACAGCCCTGTCATGGTCTCTGAGGAGCAGTGCAGCCTCACATACAGGATAAATGTGGTTTATTTCTGGACTTTATGCTTTTGGACAGAGGTTTCATAGCTTCCTTTGTGGTCCAGAGCTGCCTTAACATCAGCACTGGAAGTGGATGCTGAAAAGAGGCAGGATTTACTGGCCATGCAATGCTTTGTGTTCAGCACAGAAATCCACAAATACTTATATTGGGATAGGACTTCACATAGGGCACATTGTGTCCTTGGTCAAGTTCTTTATCAAATATGGAGTTACTTTTCTGCCCCTGCCTTAATAAGGAATGCTTTAATCCCATTGCAATAAATTACTTTTTAAAATCGAGCTAAGATAATTTACATTTCCAAAACAGTCTTACAAGTGTATAAATAATTTCTGATTGTGGTGTTGCAACTCTGTTCTATGCATAGGAAAGAAGAGCTTCMAAAAAGGAAAAAAAGGAGATGCTCACCTGCCATCTGGAGGCATTTTAGAAGTCCTCATCAAAGAAGCAAAGAATTTAACAGCAGTGAAATCAGGAGGCACATCTGACACTTTTGTGAAAGGGTTAGTGGGTTTTTTTTTCCCTCTCTCTTTTTTTAATGACCACGCTGGATCTAATTTAAGATCTGTGTCACTTACATGCCTATAAAGCATGTGGGTACACAAAAAAATTGCACAGCATGACAATATATGTGTGTTTTGTGTTGGCCACTCAAAATTCAAGCTATACAGAATGCTTGTGTTTGAACAAAATTAACATAGTCCTGCACGTCTCATCATAATGGATTTCTCATTACATATTATAAATGTTACATTTAGCGAGAAATAGATATCTTAAAACATTTTTCTTGGCCAGTTTTTGCTATGAATGATAGTTTTCAGACTTGCTGATTTCTAGATATGTTCAAATTTATAGTAATGGCTTGATTGATGTTACAAATTGGGACCACAGGAAACACCCTGTCTTTAATTCCCTGGTAGAAGTCAGAATTTATCTTGATCTTCTGCTGTGCTTAAAACTATCACTCAGCTCATATATTTCAAGCAGAAAAAGTAATTTTGATTTCTTTCTGGATTATCTCTTCTGCTTTGAGAGGAACACTGGACAAGATGACTGCAGAAGTCCCTTGTAGCCAGTATTTTTATGATTCTGTCTGTATTTAGCCTCACTGAAATAAAAATTTTGTGGTTGAGACTTGGGACAAGGAGACTAATTTCAATTTCTGCCTATGGTAAATGACAATGTAACTAAAAGACCAAATGGAGCACAAATGCAAAATAAACACTTCAGGCATGTGCTTAACTTAACAGCAGTGGGAAGGTGGGATCCCGATCCCATTTGAGCCTCTACATGATTTTAATTCATTGTGAATATTATGTGRATATATATTAATTTTCCTTTTCTTTATCTCCCAGATACCTGCTCCCAGATGACAGCAAAGCCACAAAACACAAAACTCCCATTGTAAAAAAGAGCGTGAACCCCCAGTGGAATCACACCTTTGCTTTCAGTGGCTTGAATTCAAGGGATATAAGGAATTCCTGCCTGGAACTGACTGTGTGGGACAAGGAGTCGCTTTCCAGTAATATTTTTTTGGGAGGGGTCCGTTTGAGCACTGGAAATGGTAAGGTCCCTCCTGAATTATGTTGCTTGTCTTATTCTGCTTTCCTCTTTCCTTACTCCACGTGATTCACGTGCAGGAAGAACAGAAATGTTTTTGAAAATATATGAGAATGAAAATAATATGAAAATTTATGAGAAGTAGAATTTGAAAATGGAGAACAGGCAACATATAGATTATCTGTAGATGATTTAGTTCTTCCTCCACTGAGTGAGGCACACAAATTGTGTGCTYATTGGTACTTCTGCACAATCCAAAAGATCTGTGAATACCTTGGGAAGCATTCTTTGGCGTCCCAGTGAGAAGGAATTGACTGCTTCTGTCCAGCAGCAGCCTTTCTGCTGATGATGACCTGGAAGAGGTGTGAATATGCTCCTCCTGTGTTGGGAAAAAGTTATTTGTGGTGCAGAGTGGGGGCTGTTCATGAACCTCTGCCCCTGTGCTACAGAGGAGTTTAATGAYAAAGAGGTGCTTCCTGAATGGAAGTGTAAAATGCTTGTCATTTCTCTTGGACACTGTTGTAGTAAAKGAGCAGTAATGTTATCTAACTGCTTCCTAAGATGGCAACTCCTTCATGTTTTTACAATTCCTTCCTGTTTTTACAATTGTCAGGTGTGAGCAATGGCAAGGAGGTGGACTGGATGGACTCACACGGGGAGGAGCAGCACCTCTGGCAGAAGATGATTGACAGTCCGGGAGCTGCGGTGGAAGGGGTGTTAATGCTCAGATCCAGCATGGGAAAACGCAGACTCTGAAAGAGGAAAACACAGACTCTGAAATATTTTAACTGCTGGGGGATGCCACAGGAACTCCTGGCTTCAGTGGTGTCCAGGCTCTTGTCACTTTGTCCATTTGAACTTGAGAAGGGTTGTACTCTTTGCCTTGGATGTTAAGGCTCTGAGTGAGATTTTAATGCATTTTGCACTTTCATGCACTTGTTTTTTACCCAGGCTTCTTGTGTGAATTGTCTCTCCTGAGGCCACTGAGAACTGGACCTTGTACAGAKATCAGAGTGTCTTTCTCTGTCCCTTCTGGAGGCTGGTGTGTAGCTGATGAACATTCTGCTCAGAGTGAGCCATTCTCTGGTTGGTCATTTAGTGAGTAATGCCAGGTTTATCAATCTCCTTCTGGCTCAGAGAWGGCTGAGAAGGCAGCAGTGGCACGRYACAAGCAGACTCAGAGTSAGTCAGTCTGTGCTTGGGTGTTTGTAAGTTAAGAAGCCATAATGTTGTGAATGAGAACAAACAGCATTTCTTTATTCTGTTTGCTCGTCAGGCTGTGAGTGGAGAAGCACGACAAGCTCAGGACCAGGCACCCAGCCAAGCAAGGCCAACACTTGGTTCAATGTCATCAAAAAGCCTCCAGTGAAAATAAATCATAACAAATCCTCAAACAGTTTCCAGAACTACGTGATGCTGTTGTGTTTTTCATTCAGTTGACAGCTCCAGCCAAGACCTTCTGAGGTCAGTGAACAGAGGGAATGTGTTCACGTGCCAGTCCCCATCTGATGTGTCACTGAGATAGACACAGACCAGGTTTGGACAGAGTTAGCTGAGACTTGATTCAACAGATTGTGTAGAGCAGAACAGGATTAAAACACATGCCAAAATTGTTTACAAGTTTACAATTGTTTAAATTTACAGCATAACTGTAAAATTTTACTGAATGGGCTGGGGTCCCATTCAGGCCTGTGTACATTAATTATTAAACTGAGTAGGTCTTTTCTCCTGAACATCCCTCTGTGAGTTACCAGTGGATTTAATGATGACTAGGTCTTGGCCAATTCAATCATTAACTTATTAACTGTGACAATTGTTCAACAGTAGCTTTGTGATTCCTCAAGGTATTAAGACAAAAGAAGATCAGGAAACTGAGTRAACAGCATTTCTTCTGAATTTTCCACAATTAGAACACAGCTTTCTATTTGCACTGGTAAATTATTCTATAGCCATTCCTGCATTTTCATTATTTCTCCCCAAAGTTTATTGTAAGAAACCTAGATTGAACAAAATAATATGAACTGATAGGTAAGCAACTACAGCTGGAGATTTTGACATCTGCAGCTGTCCTAGTGTACAATTAAGTACATGGATTTTAGAGCTGAATCCAAAACCTTAAAATGTCATGTAAATACTTTTATTTTTAATATATTTTATGCTGTTTTTTGTTGGAGTGGCTGGAAACTGCAGGGAAGTTTACAACCAGTCTTCTAAAATCCTAACATTATTGGATTAAAATAAGTATTTATTTGTGTTAAGAACAGAAGTTTTAATAAAATTATTTGTTTCATTATGCATAAATTATTTCAAAATTCAGAGGTTTAAAAGTCATTGCAGGTACTGCTTGCCCAGTTGGAGACTCACCATTTTCAGAAACAATCAAGTCATCTTTGAAAATGAAAATTCTCCTACAGAATCTCAGATTGGGAGCCAAAAGTCAATGGTTACTCAAGAAAACTGACTTAATTTTCCATCTTTATCTTTTCTTCATTTTCTTCTGAAGTTCAGCTCAAATTGGGTTGTGAGAGAAGYCTGGTTTTAGCTGACTTTTAATTTTTCCAACCTAAGCGATTCTGTCATTCTACAATTCTGTGCCGCAGATGCTGTGAGCTGATAAATTAGAGCACAAATATCAAGCACATAATACTTTATGACCTTGTTCTTACCACAATAATCTGTCTTTAAGTATTAGATTTTTTTTTATCTGTATCTTCCATAGTGAAACCAAACCTAACCTTTGGCACCTAAACTACCTCTCTTTGAACAAAATTGTTTTGAGCTGTCTTGGTTGTTTGCACGACAAACTTGAATTTATTTTGGGAATAATAACATTACATTGACATGTAGGCACAAACTTGACTTTTTTTTTTATTTTGCTAGAAGTTGTTTCAWACAGATAAAACTAGTTGAATCTAAAGAAAATGGTTCTTAAAGGTAGAATTCCAGTTYGAGCTGTAGAGGAACATTGATCTGTTGAATGGTTTGCTTTTGATTCATTTTGATGGTGAAAATGGCAAAAATGATCACACGAAAACTCCTCCAAGTCAGACCTTGGAATGGGCATTTTTTCATTTGCCAAACTGAAAAAAAAAAAAAAAACCAAATTAATTTGCTTTTGCATGGAGCCACAAGAGTTTGCCTGATTTTTGAATGGTACTTCCTAACCTTCTAAGCATGAATATTTTAGCTAAATCACATCTTGCTTTGGAACAAAAAAATATTCGCATTTTACTGCTTCAACTTCTGCCCATTTTGGTCCTAAGGCAGAATTTGTGATGAATGGTCTCATCTGGGAAGTGTCACCCAGCGCATACAYGAGCTTTAAGTTCTGCCTTTTCCTCCCAAAGGGCCAAAATGTTGCTCTGAGCCCACACCTGAAATTCCAGGGCTATGAACAGGCTGCAGCTTGGTACAGGAAAGGAACAGTTTTACCTGGGAAGTTATTCTGGCCAAGGTGGTGATCTTTGTCATTGGTGGGGTTTGGAGTAGAAGAGTGAAATCACCTCCTGGGTTGGCAGGGACATTTCTGCAGCATGGTGTCAACAGAAGAGGTGTCACAGCCACCAGAGCCTCGGAGAGATGATGAGCATCAGATAAACACTGGAGCAATTTGGAAAGTTTTGCTGTTCTGTGATGTTATCAGCTCATCCGTAGGAATCATCTGATTTATGGAAAATGTCACATTTAATTATGTCTCTCATCTCTTTGTTCTCTTYTTCTGTAAAGATGGTTTATGGTTTGGAAAAAGCACAAGATGATTAACTGCAGATGTGATTTCTTGTTTCCCGGATATTTGAATTAATTGCCCATAATTGTGCGTCATCATGTACTGTGTGTTACCAAGCTGAACAAAAAGACAGAAAGCCAGGAATTAGACCAAAGCCTTCCTTTTCTATCTGTGTTTATGGTATTGAAGGTGTATGAATGGTTTATTCAAAACTATTTTTTAAGAGGAAATAGACACAATTTTAACATTGATTCATAAACTCCTGGCCTGACTATATAAACACAGCAAAGCTGATGTTTCTGAAATCTTTTTCTGCACAGACCTGAACAATTGAAGCTTCATCAGTGGAGGAGAAATCTGTTTTCAAAAATGTGTTCCAAAAAACATTTTATTCTGATACATATTTTTTTCTAGCAAGGCTGGTGAGTAAATTTTGAAGGTTCAACCCATTAAAGAAGAACAAAAGTGCAACTTTTGCTGTAAAAGGTGAAGTGGGGCCAGTAAATACATTGACAGTGCCAGTATCTATCAAAAAGAGCTGATTACAARCCCTGCCATCAGATTTTGCCATCCAGCTCTTCTCTGGTGATTTTATCAGCTGTGTGGGGACTTTAGGCTTCTAAACCTGCTTGCATGCTGAGATACCACAAGCAGAGTGAAACAGGTTTGAAATGACCTCCCCATCTCCTCTCCCACATTACATTTGAGTGAGGAGAGAGGAAAGCTGCACGACTGAGGGCTGCTGTTGCCATCTTCCTGTGCTAATCCAAGTGCTCCAGCCTTCCTTGGATACCTTTCAGACTCCAGGCTTTCATCTTTCATTCCCAGCTGGAATGRTTTAAGAGACAAATCACTGGAATGGTGAGCATGTTTTGATCATGGTGCATTAGACTGGAAACTTTTTCTTAGGTGCCTCTTCCAATACAGATTATGGTGAGCTAGTATGAATGAAGCATTTTTATTTCTTAGTTTTTGATTTTTCTCTTCCTGACTGGTTACGCCCTGCTAAATGCAATTATTCTAAGTTGTACTCTGCAAATATGAACTCAACTCTAACAGCAGAGCAGCCTTTGAGCATCCACTGTTCCTAACTGACAAGGAGAAGTGACAGGAGGGTATTTATTTATCCTTATCTCCTTATTGATAAGAAGTAACAGAAGTAACAAGTATTGCATTTAGTCTGGCATAATTTTGACTTCTTGGTGGGTCTSCACATTGCCCAGCTTCAGACAGGTAAAGTTTGCAGTTTGCTCTAGCACCAACGAAGAGAAAGGCTGCCTGGATCTGTGACACCTTTGGAAAAGAGACGAGAGCCCCGTTTCCACAGATGTCTGGTTTGTGGGCTCACACAAGATACCAGGAGTTGTACCTGAATCTTTGCAAGGGTCTCTCTCCCCTTCACCCCTCCCTTGGGTTCAGCAGCCCTGACCAGAAGGTTCTCCCTGAACACTGATCYCCAATATCTGGAAGGAGGCAGCATGCAGGAGTGAAGGGAGAGCCCCACTCACTTTCTTCTGTATGAGGTTAAGGCTGAAATTTGCCTTTGCTAACACACAGTATTGGTTTTCAGCACTTTATCACAATGACAGAAACAAGCTGGCCCATGCACTTTATAAACCTTTTTTTTTTTAAATATTATTTTTTACTCCCAGAAATGTTAACACTAGAGAAATGGTGGTGAATTCCAGAAAAGGATGCAGACTTTTATCTGCAGTGATGCCCTTTACCAYAGCTCAGCAGGAGATGCTGAGAAGCATGCTAGCAGAACCTTAGCACTGTGTCCCATGAATTTCCTACCTGCTGATTTCATGTTTGCAAGTGCTGTTTAATAAGTGGTAATAATACAGTGTTACTTATACTGTGTATATCAACACTGGAAACTGAAATCTAGCTTGCTTTTTAGGTGTTTTTTTAGGTTGCTTTTGAAATTCACCCTTGCTGCATCTTGACCTTTTATTTAGATTATTTCTTTCAACTATTCTTCTTCGTGGCAGTAATATATATATGGCTGTGTGCTACTGTTCATGACAGCTCTGTGTATATTTTTGAGGATAGTTCTGATTGCTGAGGTTTGCCTAAAGCCAAGCATAGWAATTTGTTGCAGCAATTAGAGAATGTCACATGTCCCTCTTGCTGCCTTTGTTCTGCTTGAAATCTGTTGCTAGCARTTTGTTTAATTATTCTGCTGGACATGAACATAGCAGTAAATGGCATTGCAGTTAAGTTCTGCCCAAATTTAGATAAAGCAACGTTTTCTGCTGAGAACATTTTTGTACTGTGCATTGTACATCGTTTTGTGGACAAAGGTGACTGGTAAGACATTTGCAGCTGTTGTCAAGATTTCTGTTACATCTTTTAAATTAAAATACTGAAACATTGTTGTGTCTTTTTGTCTCTCCTAAAATGAATTACAGCAAACTGTATCTCCCAGGAATATCCCATATTATCTCAGGTAAAGACATCATTTACATGTGATGACTAATGCAAGAGGCCTGTCATGTCTGCAGAGATGGGACTCAACTCATGGTGTTTCTGTCTCTCCTTTTTTTCTCTTAAARTCTTTAAAACACTTAAAAGTCTAGAAATTAGGCTATTTTTGATTTCATAAGCATTAAATATGATTTTGTTTTAATATGCAATTCTAAGGAAAAGGGAAGTAAAGCGTTCTCTTCCTCCTTGCTATAAAATTATTTTACGTGTACATTAACCCTGCCTGTTCACCAGGTCCTCCCTTCCATCTCTGAATCTCCTGCCTGGYTCAAGGTCCTGCCCACCTGAATCCAGGTATGTTCAAAATGCTTATTGTCTGTAATTGCTGGTCCTGATTTCTTCTAAGGAAAATCAGCACGCATTTGATCACTCAGTTCATACTTTCAGGTGAGTCATATTCACCCCAACTTACGTCAGAGCCCAGGAGTCTCTTGCATGTTGTCATGGTTCTCCAGTTCCCTGGGCTTTTGCATCTTGCTGTGCCTCCCCCAGTATCAGAGAAAGGAGCCAAACCATGCTCCTGGGCTCTGGGCTTGTGCTGCCTGTGCTCACTTTGGAGCAGTTTGAAATCTTGGCTCAGCTCCTGTGCCCAGGTGAAGGGGAGACCAGTTCAGAATGGTGCAGTGGTCTCTTGGTGTGGTTTGGGCACAGGCTCTTTTGCCCTCACACCACTCTTGTCCAGCTGGTCCCYGTGCTGCTTCTGGCCTTTATGGGCAGGTCAGACACCCAAAAACTGGAAGGCAGCTGCAGGTWGGGAAGAGCCCTCCTGCCATTTCTCTGTACTTTTGCTTGGGACTGTACTTAAAGACTTGCTTAAGGGTCTGGAAGACACCTCTGTAAGTCCTGTACAGCTGAACTGCAGTCTCTCCTTCCATCCTCTTTGAGGTCATAGAGGGCTGATTCTCCTTGTAAATTTGAAATATGGCCCATCCTAATTACTGACATTCAGGTCTTGGTTCCTCTCTGGCCGTGGGGGTGGCAATGGAAGATGTGTTGGTAACTAGATATGCACTATCCCATTCTGCATGGACACTGGCATTCCCATCTGTTCCCTGTGTGTCTCACAGAGATGCAGCAGCTGGATCACTGCTGGAAGGAGTCCAGAGAAATTCGTGTGCTCTCCTCAGCTGCCCATGTCCTCTCCTCAGCTGCCCGTGTCCTCACAGGCTCCTCTGGCCCAGCYTTGCTGCTCTCTGCCTTCCCTGTAGATGGTTTCCCACTCTTCCCTTCACCAAGCTGCTTCACCTTCCAGCCACAAATGGGGAGAAATGGGCAGAAGCAGCTCCATGTCCCAGAGGAGCCGTGCCACCTCCTTGAGATGTGAAGCACCCACTCCCTTTTCCCTTCCCATGGATGTACAGCAGGAACAGAGACTGGTGAGTGGCTGGAAGCAATCAAGCGCTGAGATGGCACAGCCTGAGCTCCATTATTCCCTCACCTCAATTTAAAAAGTGGGTTGTGATCATGGGAGTATTTAAATATACTCCAGGTTACTCTTTAGCCTCTGCATTTTCATTAATTATGTGATGCAGTCTGACTCATGCTCTTATGTAAGTACTGARCTGTAATGAAGCCCCATGTTGTCGTCGTTTAGTGCAGAGATGTAAAAGATCATTGCTGTTTTCATTAAAAC